AGTGGATGTTAGTCATCCTTTCAAATATGATTACACATCTCATCCCCAAAAGACAGTATTAAAATCTTGAATTTATATAAGGCTTCTTGTTATTTTTCACAGTTTGCACTTACATTTAATATAGTTACCAAAGCACCAAACCATACTAGAGAGTTGTCACTGGGAACGGTCCAAACAAAATTGTAGTGAAGACTGATGGTAGTTAACTGGAACACTGTGTTGAATCCTGGTTATTTAGCAGGAAAAGGATGTTTAAATACACTTGCTTTTGTCTGAATTATCTGGCCAGATATTTTTTAGAAATTCTCTAAATGTACAAAATCCACCTCTTGTTTTTCATTAGATCTAGTGGCTTGTTTACTATTTACAGAGCTGATAAAAATATTGTGATTTTAAGCAAAGAATGTTGAACAAGGGCATTTAAATGATCTTATCAAAGGAGTCTTCTCAAAAAATGACTTCTCACCAACTTCAAAGGGATACAAGAAAAAAAGAATCAGACTAGATTGCAGTACTCATCAAAGCTAAATAATAACTGCTTAGTTAAAAAAAACTTTCAGAGATATGTTAGACATTTAGTAGCTTCTGTATGTCTTATTTTGTATTCCTTTATTTGTGGGACACAACTATGAATACAAAATAAATGCTAGTTTATAATACCTGTTTATATACATATAGGGAAGGGGACACCTGGCTGGCTCAGTTGGTAGAGCCATATGACTCTAGATCTCAGGGTTGTAAGTTTGAGCCCCATGTTGAGTGTGGAGATTACTTAAAAATAAAATAAAAAAAAAAAGATGTAAGAAAGACTGTAGATACACCATTAAGGGAAATGCTATGAACAGACATTTTTCCAAAGAAGACATCCGAATGGCCAACAGACACATGAAAAAGTGCTCAATATCTCTCAGCATCAGGGAAATCCAAATCAAAACCTCAATGAGAAACCACCTCATACCAGTCAGAATGGCTAAAGTTAACAAGTCAGGAAATGACAGATGTTGGCAAGGATGCAGAGAAAGGGGAACCCTCCTACACTGTTGGTGGGAATGCAAGCTGGTGCAGCCACTCTGGAAAACAGTATGGAGATTCCTCAGAAAGTTGAAAATAGAGCTACCATACGATCCAGCAATTGCACTACTGGGTATTTACCACAAAGATACAAATGTAGGGATCCGAAGGGGTAAGTGCACCCCGATGTTTATAGCAGCAATGTCCACAATAGCCAAATTATGAAAAAGCCAAGATGTCCATCAACAGATGAATGGATAAAGAAGATGTGGTGTATATATATAATGGAATATTATGCAGCCATCAAAAAGACATGAAATCTTGCCATTTGCAATGATGTGGATGGAACTAGAGGGTATTATGCTTAAGAGAAATAAGTCAATCAGAGAAAGACAAGTATCATATGATCTCACTGATATGAGGAATTCTTAATCTCAGGAAACAAACTGAGGGTTGCTGGAGTGGTGGGGGTGGGAGGGATGGGGTGGCTGGGTGATGGACATTGGGGAGGGTATGTGCTATAGTGAGTGCTGTGAATTGTGTAAGACTGATGAATCACAGACCTGTACCTCTGAAACAAATAATACATTATATATTTAAAAAAAAAAGAAGATAGTAGGAAGGGAAAAATGAAGGGGGGGAAATCGGAGGGGGAGACGAACCATGAGAGACTATGGACTCTGAGAAACAAACTGAGGGTTTTAGAGGGGAGGGGGGTGGGGGGATGGGTTAGCCCAGTGATGGGTATTAAGAAGGGCACGTATTGCATGGAGCACTGAGTGTTATACCCAAACAATGAATCATGGAACACTACATCAAAAACTAATGATGTAATGTATGATGATTAACATTAACATAATAAAATAAAAATTTAAAAAAAGGGGAATGCTATTATTTTTATAGAGGAGAAAAGTGTGCGTACGTGTGTGGTCTTTATATTGTATCAGTAAGCTATTTAAATGATGCTTTTTAGCCAAAACTAACAAGAAATACTGATGAAGGGCGCCTGGGTGGCTCAGTTGTTAAGGTCTGCCTTTGGCTCAGGTCATGATCCCAGGGTCCTGGGATTGAGCCCCACATCGGGCTCCCTGCTCCGCGGGAAGCCTGCTTCTCCCTCTCCCACTCCCCCTGCTTGTGTTCCCTCTCTCGCTGTGTCTTTATCAAATAAATAAATAAATAAATAATCTTTTTTTTTAAAAAAAGAAATATTGATGAAACTAAAGGTAAAACTTTTTCCTGGCTAAACTTTCTAGAATGAATTCTAGAATGTTATTATAGGTATGAATTCATTCTTCAATCCACTGCAATCTGGCTTCTGCCCCCATCATGGCAACTGTTCTACATATGGTCAATAATGACTTCCTCTGGATTCTTTCCTGTCCCCCTCATCCTTTTAGTTTTATTTTTTTATTTTATTTTTTAAAGATTTTGTTTATTTATTTGACAGAGAGAGAGACAGCTAGAGAGGGAACACAAGCAGGGGGAGTGGGAGAGGGAGAAGCAGGCTTCCTGCTGAGCAGGGAGCCCGATGCGGGGCTCGATCCCAGGACCCTGAGATCATGACCCGAGCTGAAGGCAGCCACTTGACCGACTGAGCCACCCAGGCGCCCCATGTCCTCATCCTTTTAGAATGTGGCATTTTTGTTATCTCATTCAAAAAAAAAAGTGGCATTTTATGTCTTTTGTCCTCTTTCTTGAAATGTCCTGTCCTTACCTTAGTAAGGATTATCTTTCTAACTTTGCCACTTCCTTTTCAGTCATCCTTTTGAGAAATTCTTTTGCTCCCTATCCCTTATAATAGTTGGTATTCCTCAGAGTTCAGACACAGAATCTCTTCTTGCAATATATACTTTCCTGGGGAATGTCCCATTTTGCTTCTGGGCATCCACTTCTACCTATAGACTACAGGCTTCCAAACTTTGTCTGTAGTCCAGACTGCTCTCTTGAGCGTCAGACTCATACACCCAACTGCCAAGGAGCATCTCCACTTGGATTCAACCTGTTCAAAATGAAACCCATAATATTTATTCTAATTATTCCTGTAGTACTTCTTATCCTGGCTAATGGCTTCAAGGTACTGTAGTCCCCTAGCTTAGACCCGGGGAACCCTCTCTGCATTCCCCTTTTCCACCTGTGGAATTGATCAGAAAGTTCTGTAGTTGCTATTATTAATTCCATCCTTCCTTTCCAAATTTACTGCCATTGCCTTACAGAACTTTATCTTTCATTTAGCCTATTATAATGGGTTCCTGAATTATTTTTCTGGCTTTGAGTTCACATTCTTCCAAACTATTCTTCATGCAGTACCAGCTTTGAGATTTGTAATACACAAAATAGGTCAACAACAAAAAAATTAATCATGCCTGTTCCTTGCTTTAAAATCTTTAACACTTCGTTATCACTCACAGAATAAATTCCAGCCTCTTCAGAATGGCTTGTAGGGCTTCCCAGAATTTGACTTCCACCCATCTATCCGCTCTCGTTTCTTCATGCCTATCCTCCCACCATCCCAAATCATACCAACCTGGTTACAGAAATGTTGCATGCTTCCATGTCTTTGTACATACCACTCTCTGTCTGGCATGCTCAACTTTCTCTTTGTCTACCTAGGGGCCCCTATTATTCTTTAATACCTGAGCTAGCATGTCTTTATCTATGAACTCCTCTCTGTCCCACCACTGTACTTGATAAGAGCTATAATAGAGCATGTCATATTGTGCTGCACCTGTTTACATATTTTCTCCTCTACCAAACTGAGGGCAAAGACCAAATCTTATTCATATTTGTATTTTCAGTATCTAGGGTGATGACTGGCACATGCTGAGTGAATGAATAAACTTTTGCAAACATAAATGTTTTCTTGTCTTCACTAAGTTTAATGCTACTATGGATGAAATTGGTTGTTGAAGTTTGATTTTTTTTTTTCTGTTTCTCCATGTTACCACATATCGGCCTTAAATCAACATCTTTTCAGCAGAATGAAATCTAAGATGAAAGGACCACAAAATTATGACAATAATATACAGTCATTCCTTTAAGAATTAATGTATTAGGGGCACCTGGGTGGGTCAGTTGGTTAAGCAACTGCCTTTGGCTCAGGTCATGATCCTGGAGTCCAGGGATCGAGTCCGGTATCGGGCTCCCTGCTGAGCAGGGAGTCTGCTTCTCCCTCTGACCCTCCCCCCTCTCATGCTGTCTCTCTCTATCTCATTCTCTCTCTCAAATAAATAAAATCTTAAAAAAAGATTAAAAAAAGAATTAATGTATTAAATTTTTTTGCATTTATAGTGCATAATTAGAATAGAACATCACAACTGCTCTAGCACTTGCCTTCTGATGAGAGTTGCTAATTTATCTATTTGATTGCATAGTTAGGGAGACAAATTCTTAGCTGAGCAAAATGGTATTGAAAGAAAGCCTTGAAAATGAATTGAGCAGATGATATAATCCGGGGATCTCCTTGGCAAAGCTCAGAATTGATAGAGTCTTGAAAAGCCCCGAAAGGATGGGGAAAGGTATGGAGGAGGACAGGATGTAAGAAAAATACATTTACTGAGCATCCAGGAATTTTTAGTCATTCTACACATTAATTTAATTTAGTCCATAACAATGACTCTATGGCAGAGACACTGTTCTCCCCATTTTGTAGATGAGGTTGGTAATGCTAGACATTAAGTGATCTCCAAAGTCATGCAGCTACAAAGTGGTAACTAGATCTGACTGACTAGTTTCCTTCCTTCTCAGCATGCAGCCCTGACTTTGAAATAAAGTTTCCAGAGCGGCCTGCCGCTCTGTGCAGCTTACCGACACACACAGAGACACATTATTTGCTCCTATTTGCAATGATCAGATGTAGGCGGGTCACTTAGTAGTTAGGAGTAATGTAATAACAATGCAATTTCCAATCTCAGTGCCTATTTAAAAAAAAAAAATTTACTAATGAAAAGAAGAGCCTCACATTTATCGATGATGCTAGATAATGAAGTGGATGAATCTTTTTGAGCTGCTCTTGCAAAACAACAAGAATACACTCTCGGGGGTTTAGTGGAGAAAGCACACTTAAAAGTTTTTCTTTGGTGTGTCTCCCTGCTGGCTCCGTTTGGAATCCAGAAACGACTGCTCTCTGGGGTAAAAGGCAGTTTGCTCTTGCTGCCTCCTGTCTATTGCTTGGCCTGGCAGTTTGTCACTCTCCTGGGCAAAAATCCAGCTTGTGGTAGTGAGGTGGTTTTGTGGCAGAACTCCACAATTAACCACAAGTTCAGTGTCAACGGTAGGCTGCCACGGTAGGGGCTGTGATCCTTCAGATCTGCTGGGAGAGCCAGAGCCGAAGAGACTACTGCTTGTCTAAGGAGGGAACAGGAAAACTTGGAAGGAGTTTGCATTGCTGTTTATTGTTCAAGGTTCGGGTTTTAGGTTTAATACACAAAAATCCAGGAAATTTCAGATTAATAGTTAGGTATTTAATACCTTTATCGGTTGCTTTTTGTAAAAAGTACGGTGGAATTGTGTCATAGATACAGTTGCTGCTCTGAAAATGAGAAATAGAGAAAGGAGAATTCTTAAAGTAGTAGAATGTATTCTTTCATTGCAAAAGACATCCAGGTATCATCACTTGAATTAAAAAAAAAAAGTCACCCACACACTCTTAAACACTTATTTTATGTTGGAAATTAAACCAAACACAAATATATGTATAATGTTTTCTGCAACTCTAAGATAGAAAGGGTTCTTTTACTGATTTTGTGAAAATGGATGTTAACAAAAACGTTTTTCAATAACGGTATAGAAGCTTTTTTGTATTAAGTTGTATATTAAGAGTTTCAATTTAAATTCATTTAACAAAAAAATCCAAGGACATACAACTAAAAAAAATCTGATTAATTTTTTTTTGAGAAATACAAACACACTTCAAAAAATATTGAGCATTGGGGTGCCTGGCTGGCTCAGTCAGTGGAGTATGTGGCTCTTGGTCTTGGGGTTGTGAGTTTGAGTATTGGATATAGAGATTACTTAAAAAATTTTTTTTAATATTGACAGAGTACTCTGCTAGTCATGGCATGGAGATTGAGCTAAGGTTGAGTAAAACAGAATTCTTGTGTTTGAAGAGTATAGTGAAGAGGTAGCCATGTAAATAAACAAATATGATGACAGAATATGAACTTTTATATAATAGTAACAATAAATTCCAGTTCCATATTAGAGCCACACCATTTCTCTAGCCTCCTCATTTTTGTTCTTTGTCCCTGTATACCTTACACTCCAGCCACAGGATGGCTTGAAATTATCCGAATGTCCCATGGTTGTATTCCTCCAGATTTTTGCACTTGCTTGCCTCCTTTGCCCAGATTATATTTCTCCCTACTTTATGTATGTAACTTCTACTCAACTTTCAATACCAAGCCCAGAAATCTCTTTCTCTGACTCCCCAAGAGCATTATTCCTTACTCAATATTCCCACCATGGTCTGGGTTAGGTGTCCCTCTGGACTACCAGACTACACTGAGCTTCCTTACTTCCATATCACAGTGCCTATTACACTGGGCTTTAGTAGTCTTTGTACTTCTTTAGCTTACACTATGAACCCTTAAAGGCAGGAACTATACCTGTCATCATTGTGTCCTTGTCCGCTAGCACAGTGCCCAGCACAATGCCAGGTACTTAAAAAAATGCATTCATTAAGAGAGAGAGAGATTAAATGTTGGGGGAGGGGTGTGGCATGTAGGAGAACTGAAGAAGTCAAAGAAATGAGGGAATTAAATATAAAGATGAAACAGAAAAGGCAGGGAGAGGGCAGAGAGATAGGAAGATGGCCATGCACATAGACTCTGGGGAGAGAATTGGAGCTGGTAGAGGAGAAACAGATCCTGAAAACGACTTGAGACAACCATACCGTGGGGAGACTCTGGAAAAGAATGATTCTCTTCTTAAAATTTATTATTATTTTTAACGATTTTATTTATTAGAGAGAGAGTGAGAGAGCACAAGCAGGGAGAGCAGCGGAGGGAAAGGGAGAAGCAGGCTTCCCGCTGAGCAGGGAGCCCAACGCGGGGCTCCATCCCAGGACCCTGGGATCACGACCTGAGAGGAAGGCAGATGCTTAACCAACTAAGCCATCCAGGTTCCCCTCTTCCTCTTTTTTTTTTTTTTTTAAGATTTTATTTATTTGAGAGAGTGTGAGCAGGGGTGTGGGGGTGGGGCAGAGGGAGAGGGAGAAGCAGACTCCCCTGCTGAACAGAGAGCCAGATGTGGGGCTCCATTCCAGGACCCTGGGATCATGACCTGAGCCAAAGGCAGACACTTAACCCACTGAGCTACCCAGGCACTCCTCTCTTCTTTAATAGGTCTGAAGCACTGTTCTCAACAGAGTTTACCATATATTCTCTTGTGCTCCCTAACAGTCTATGTGCATAGGCCCTATCTCCCACATAGAGCTGCAGCTTGAGGAAGCTTCTAAAGAACTTTACAGTTTTTAAAGTTCTAAATAGCATCTAGCAGAGTGCTCTGCATATAGTGGACACTCAGTAAATACTTGTCAAGATGAACTAAAGAATGAGTCAAGGGGCACCTGGGTGGTGCAGTCGGTTAAGCATCGACTCTTGGTTTCATCTCAGGGTGTTGAGAGCAAGCCACAGGTTGGGCTCTGTGCTCAGCGTGGAGTCTGCTCGTCCCTCTCTCTCCCCCTCTGCCCCTACCCCTGCTCGCACTCACACTCATACGTGCGCGTGTGCGCGCACACACACATACTCGCTCTCTCTTTTAAGAATTTTATGTGTTCATTTGAGAGAGAGAGAGAGAGGGAACACAAGCAGGGGGAGCGGCAGGCAGAGGGAGAGGGAGAAGCAGATTCCCCGCCGAGCAGGGAGCTGGACATGGGGCTGGATCCCAGGACCCTGGCATCATGACCAGATCCGAAGGCAATCGCTTAACTGAGCCACCCAGGTGCCTCCCTATCTCTCTTTCTCAAATAAATAAATAAATAAATAAACAAATAAATAAAATCTTTAAAAAACAAGAGTGAGTCAAAGTGAGGCTCAGGTTCTGAGATGAGTGTTAGCTGGAAGGAAAATGGGTATTTTAACATAGACAATCGAGTCATCACTGCACACTGAACACAGGGACCTTTCTATACCAGAGAAAAGCCAGTCTATTTGACTTTCAAATGTATATTTGTAAGTGCTAATTCTTTCATTCTTTCAAAACCTTTTAAGGTTTTCATATACCTTAAGGAATGGCTCTAGTTTTAGGAATTTGGAATCTCAGACTGGTACTTAGAATTTGTCAGACTGCTTTATATCATTATTCCTCAGAAATTAGGGCTGCTTTATTACTGAATTCCGAAAAACTGCATTTTATTTATTTTTTTAAGATTTTATTTATTTATTTGAGAGAGAGTGAGAGCACAAGCAGGGAGGAGAGGGAGAAGCAGGCTACCCACTCAGCAGGGAGCCCTATGTGGGGCTTGATCCCAGGACCCTGAGATCATGACCCCAGCTGAAGGCAGCCGCTTAACTGACTAAGGCACTCAGGTGCCTCTAGAAAAACTGCATTTTAGAAAGAGCATTTGGTTCTAAGCCTTTTCCCAAATCCAGTTCAAATCCATTTTTTATGTTCTATTTCAGAGGTTTAAAATCTTTCTCCCCCCACCTCCCTCCCTCCCTCCCTCCCTTCCTTCCTTCCTTCCTTCCTTCCTTCCTTCCTTCCTTCCTTCCTTCCTTCCTTCCTTCCTTCTTTCCTCCCTTCCTTCCTTCCTTCCTTCCTTCCTTCCTTCCTTCCTTCCTTCCTTCCTTCCTTCCTTCCTTCCCCACCCTTTCTCCCCTCCTTCTTTTGCCCAGGGGTTCTAGAGAGGAGCTTCAGGTCAGGGTAGGCGGTGTTGGAACTGCCCATTTGAAGTTCTCAGGCCTCGGGGGCACCTCCACTTCAATAAGAGCATTCTGCTTTTATTTGCATCATAAAAAACTTTTTTTTTAAGTTTTAATTTAAATTCCAGTCAGTTAACATAGTGTTATATTAGTTTCAGGTGTACAATATAGTGACTCAACACCTCCATACATCACCCGTTCTCATCACAAGTGCCCTCCTTAATGCCTATCACCTGTTTCACCTATTCCACTGCCCCCCACCCCCCCTCGTAACCATTAGATTGTTTGTATATTTCTCTTGAAAAACGTTTTAAAATGCTGGTTGAGAGGCAACAATGCAGAATGGGAACAGCAATAAAAAGCTCTTAAAGAACTGGTAACCAGTTATCCCCTGCTTTTCCACTGCTTTTAGCAAATTTAGAGGCTGTTCATTCTCATCCTGAGGAGTCAGACCCTGAGGAGTCACCTGACCACAGGACAGCGGTAATGACTGGACTGAGTCCTGCTTCTCATCCAACCTCTTTACTATCCCTCCTTCTTACATTCCACGATCATAACGGTAATAGTCACCAACAGGTGTAGCTGCTAACATCCATTTACAAATATTTAATTTTAGAAGGGAATTTCTGGGAATACTGCTTGAGACATGGATTTCTCTACATTTGGATTTTATTCAGAAAATAATCCTATCTTCTTAAAAAAGTTTGAAAGTACAAGTTACAAGGACAGATAGTTGCACTTTATCAGAAGACAGGGCAGGTAGGGAGGAGGAGCTGAGACCTACCATGAGGCTCAGTTGTTATTTCCCTTCTCTGAGGATGAAGGTTAAAGAGAGAACAAGGTAATTTACAGAGAAGGCAATTTCCAGGCCAGCAATGGTGAGCACCAGAGGTCCCAGATGAAGAGGCAGGTGTTTTGACAGTTGGGCTGAGCCCAGTAATGGGACATTACAGCTGGTGCTTATAAGGTTAGACAGGTGGGCAGGCAGTGGCATGTAGAAGCCCTGTCAAGGGGGATCCTTAGCTACTAGACTAGTGAACCTCAGACTAGTGAACTAGTGTTTAGGGGCAGAGCTTTTGGCCCTGGGACTGGAAAGACCTAAACAGGGTTTTAGTTCTTCCATAGTTAATTGGGGCACTATCAGCTTACTGGTGTGGGTACCTAAAATGGAGAACAAAATTCTCATCCTACAAACCGAGGAACATGGGAAAACTGGTCTTTGGAACTCGACAGCAAGGACCCCCTTCAGAATAGAGGAATACACACAGGGTTGCATTGCACCAGAACAACTCGGGAGCTGGGGGGTAAGCACTAGGATTCCATGTCATGGATCATCAAACTGGGAGAATGATTCTGGTGGAGAGTTCATGGGTCAAGATGTGAGCAAAGGCAAAGTCAGGTAAAATAAGGCAGGGGTAGAGTACTGAGAAAAGTCAAAGGTGTGCCGTGACTCTAGGTCTTTTTTCACAACAGATAATGGTCATACATTCCTGAACCTAAAGACAAGAGCTAAGTAATTCTATTGGTTGTTTAAATCTGGAAAAGAATAATTAAATAATTTGAGCTCTCAGAAATGCAGCTTACTAATAATCTTTGACATGGATTGTAAACAGAGAAAGGAGTTGCTATAAACATAGCAAGCTCATTCTTTTTGTGCATATTTTTAGTTAAGTAAACTGATGGTCTTTGGTTACGTCCTTACATTTTATTTTAGAATCCTGTCAGGTGCTGGGGTTGGTGTTTAGAGGTATGCATTCCAAACATAGGTTATTGAAAGAGTTGGGCTTTTAGCCTTATAAAGACCTGGGAAGACAACTGAAAGAAGGTGAAAGAACTGGGGAGTATGAAGAGTATTTTAAATTGTATTTGCCAGATAATAATTCTTTGATACAAATTCTTTTGTTTTGATTTGTCAACACTGAGAGTTTTCTTTAGTTTGATGGTACAAATAATTCAAAGGTTGCTCTTGGCAATCTGAAGCATGGATCCTAAGGATGCCTATATATTTTTGTCATACAGAAATCAAACTTTTTAAGACTGGAAGGGACCTTAAAGCTCATCAGAATTAACTTCCGGCAATTTTACAACTGAGGTGAACAAGGCCTGGAAATGTTAACGTGACTTGCTTAATGCTGGGGCATGAATGGCTGGGCCAGGATTAGAAGCTATGAACGGATTTCTAGTCCATTACTATTACCATGCCTATCCCACCTCAAATTACTGAGGCTTTAAAACAACTTTAATCTGAATTTGTTCTAATTTTCAAATCAGTTATCTTTTTTTTTCAAGATTTTATTTATTTGAGAGAGAGAGAGAGAGAGAGAGCGCATGAGAGCGGGGTGAGGGGCGGAGAGAGTGGACTCCCGGCTAAGCAGGGAGCCCGATTCGGGGCTCAATCCCAGGACCCTGTGATCAAGACCTGAGCTGGAGGCAGAGGCTTAACCGACTGAGCCACCCAGGCACCCTGATAGTTTATTTTCTTATGAGAATTTATAATGCCAGTGCTAGTTTTGCCATGCCCTTCTGTAAAAGCTCAAAATGTATCCACAAAAGTTCCTATTTTAATCTTTGGTAGTGAGGAGTGCTGTGCATATCATTTAAAAAATGTATTCGTTGAGTTGTGTTGAAATGATACTTAAAAAAAAAACTTCCATTGTCATGGTAGAGAAAGATCACCATGGATTTTGATCTTTTAAGGAAAGCATTTGAGTAATCAATTTGAAAACTCTATTAAATATTTTTTCCTTTGTTCAAGAGACAGAAAAGGAAACGGAATTCTGGTCTCTTTTTTCATCTTGGTCAAATGCTTGTGCTAATTTTGCAGCGATTTCTGCTATGTATGTGAACTATGGCCATATACGAAAATGGTCTGTTTTAGGTCATGGCTGTGGGCAGAGATTAATTGGTGAAAAATGGGCCTGTTTGTGGCATTTACCACACAGTAAGTTTTCTCATCTCTCTGGAAAAATGTGGAATTAGCTCTTTGAGAAATGCAGGCCTGTCATGAGGTTGAAGGGAGAGTTTCGGTGGATGGAAACACAGTTCACTCTCTAAGGCAGTTATGATTGGTTAGATTCCAGAGCAGTCCCTTTGGTACAGCAAAGTTCTTCTCACTTTCAGGTCAGTGTTTCCATGTTGCTAGTTTCACCAGTAATTCACAGATAGCATCTTATTTGGCTCCTTTCGTGGCCGACTGATCCAAACTGGGCAATGGTCTTGGAGAGGACGCCGAATCCTCCCAACCCCCCTTCTCTAGAACACGCTGTTAACAGCGAAAAAGACTTCAAGGTGGAACAACTTTGTGACAACAGATTTTCTGTGCTTGTTCAGGGAGACACAGATGTGAACCAGGGGGTATGTATGGCAAGGGTGTGAAGTGGAGGCTGGGACCTTAGTTCCTTGCCTGTGAAGACAGTTGAGGAAGACAAGCTCAATAATACCTACTCGGATGCTCCCGGAGAGCACTCCACGTGCACGCTCCTTCCAAAGAGCCGCGTCCAATCTCCCCGGCCTGCTGCGTGGCCCAAGATTCCACGTTGCTGTTGAGGGCAGACCCAGGCACGGTGGTTACGGAATCCTTTGCCATGACCATGGCGGTGGCTGGTCCTTACCCGGTCACAGTTCGGACAGTCCAAGGGCCCACCCTGAAACCGGGATGTGTTAGAGGCGGGTCCGGCTTCCCCGCTCAACTCGGTTTCCCAACTAGGCACTCCCCTTCGGGGCCGCAAACACCCTCTCTCTCCCAAACCCCAGTGGTGACCTGTCGGAGCCTGGCTGCGTGTTTGTGCCTTACCCCCAAAGGGAACCTGCGCGCCTGGGGTCCCAGGTTGGCGGGCTTGTCTCCTTCCATCCGGAGGGGACCCCGCCCTCCACTGCCGGCCCCGGCCGGTCTCTGGGAGGCCCCGGCCACGCTCTCCCCGGTCCTGGCACGCTCAGTCGGCGGGGTCCCCAGCTCGCGTCCGGGGCGGCGGCGCCGGCGCCGGGACAGGACGCGGGCGCGCGCGAGCGGCGGGCGGGGCGCGCGCCCGCCCGGGGCAGGCACGGGGGAGGAGCGCCCGCCCGCCCGCCGCCGCTCGCGCGCCCAACGGACCAGGCTGGGGCCGGGAGCTAACTGTTGCAGCCCGCCGGAGCTGGGCGGCGACGCCGAGTCTCCAGTCCCGAGAAGTGCCCGAGGAACACGGAGGGGGCGGCCGCGGCGGTCCCGAGAGCAGTCCCTTCCGCCGCTCTCCTCTGCCAGCATGTCCCGGACCCTGCCGCTCCTCCGCCCGCGCGGCGGGGATCCCGGGCCGCGGCGGCGGGCGCAACCCTGACGCGCAGCCGAGCCGGGGGGCGCCTAGAGCGCGGGGGCGGGGGCTGAGGGAGCGCGAGCGGCCGCCGCGGTCCGGGCCGTGAGGAGGGACGAGCGAGACGCCAAAGCCATGCGGTGCCCGCAGCCGCCGGACGGGGCCGCCTCGCCCCCCGAGAGTCTGAGGAACGGCTACGTGAAGAGCTGCGTGAGCCCCCTGCGGCAGGACCCTCCGCGCGGCTTCTTCTTCCACCTCTGCCGCTTCTGCAACGTGGAGCTGCTACTGCCGCCGCCGGCCTCCCCCCAGCAGCCGCGCCGCGGCTCCCCCTCCTCCCGGGCGCGCCTCTCGCTGGGCGCCCTGGCCGCCTTTGTCCTCGCCCTGCTGCTCGGCTCGGGGCCCGGGAGCTGGGCTGCCAGGGCCGCCCGGCTGCGGACCCTCCTGAGCGTTTGCTCTCACAGCCTCAGCCCCCTGTTCAGCATCGCCTGTGCCTTTTTCTTCCTCACCTGCTTCTTGACCCGGAGCAAGCGGGGCCCCGGGCCGGGCCGGAGCGGCGGCGGCTCCTGGTGGCTGCTGGCGCTGCCAGCCTGCTGTTACCTGGTGGACTTCTTGGTGTGGCAGGCATGGGCTTGGGCTTGGGGGTCCGGAGACGCGGGGGTCCCCGCCGCGGCCCCACACACGCCCCCGGCGGTGGCGGGCAGGTTGTTCTTGGTGCTGAGCTGCGTGGGCTTGCTGACGCTCATCGCGCACCCGGCGAGGCTCCGGCACAGCATCCTGGTGCTGCTCTTCTCCAGCTTCGTTTGGTGGGTCTCCTTCACCGGCCTCGGGTCGCTGCCCGCAGCCCTCAGGCCGCTGCTCTCCTGCCTGGTCGGGGACGCCGGCTGCCTGCTAGCCCTGGGCTTGGATCACTTCTTTCAGATCAGGGAAGCCCCTCACCATCCTCGCTTGGCCAGTGCCTCCGAGGACAAAGTGCCTGTGATCAGACCCCGCAGGAGGTCCAGCTGCGTGTCGTTCGGAGAAACTTCGGCCGGTTACTCCGGCAGTTGCAAGATGTTCAGGAGACCTTCCTTGCCTTGCATTTCCCGAGAACAGGTATGTTACCAGAGAGCACGGCTTGGTAAGGAAGTGAGCGCGGTTTTATCGCTTCAGTTCCCAACCTGAATTAGAGTACTTGAAAGCATGTTCACTTCCAGAGTGGAAAAAAAAAAAGTTTTGTTCTGGAAAGAATTCCTAAATTACGGGAGGCTTTTTAAACACGCAGAGGTATCTTTTATCTTGGAATGGAAATGAAAGAGGAGACTGATCATATTGCACTTTTAAAAGACTTTGCTCATGCGATGGATGAGTTCTCAGGAATAAAGTGAATTATTTGCGGTTTAATAGATCGACGACTGCCACTTTGGTATACACTGATGTAGATCTTTTTGATGCTAGTTGTTGCTGTTATAATGGTGGTGTCTCCCCAGTGGTAACATACAGGCATTAGATTGAATACATATATAAATTTTAATCAGTGCCGTTTCATTCTTGATAATCGAGAGGAAGAATTTGATATATAATGAACAGCGATGAGCTTTGGAACTGAGGCTTCGTGTAGATGAAAAGATTGTTGGGAATAATTGTTAAGGGTTCTTCCCCCTCCCCCATTTCAGTAATATAGGCCGTTATAATCTTTTACAGACTAACTCATGGTCGTGTGTATTTGTTGCATAATTAGGAGAATGTTGTAACAATTTAACCTTTAAACTTAGTAATGTTTGGAAAGATGCCAAAAGCATTTCCATTTTTTTTTTCCTGTAGGTTTACATGTTTTTGTTTTTTTAAAGGAATTGAAATCATCCTCAGGGAAGAGTTTCTCTTTATGTGGTTTAGAGAAATCTTGTTCTACATCACCAAGAAATCAGCGAATATAGTTGTTATTCATTGAGCATGTGCTAGGTGCGAAATATTACATATATTGTCCCAAATGCTCACAAAAACCCTGTGTGGTAGATGACAATCTCAATTTAGAGCTGAGTAAATTGAGGCTTATAGAGGCTACCCAGTTCACACATCCAGTAAGTGGCAGTGTAGGGATTTGAACCTAGACCTTTCAAATTTTCAATGCTGTTTTTTAAGCAACTAAAAGGATGTGTGTAGAGGTTTTAAGTAGGAGAGTAGGAGTCTATCCCATTGGTTTTCAGACTTTTTGATTGGTGATATGTTTTACACTGTAACGCAGTGTATTTGACACAAACGTTTCTTCTTCTTGCTACATCTTATGCTCTCTTTTCTTAATAATCTTCAAGGTACTACATTGATTTTATGTTTAACACTGATCTGCAGTGTTCTAGTGAGACCACACTTCTTGAAATGTGCTCTCAGAGGCCGCTTTTGTGGTCTGTAGTTATTTGGCCACATGCTAGAAAGAATTGTTCAAAAAATGTTATGCCTTTTGCTTTCTTAGTTTGCAGCCAGTGATACTAGACAATGCTTAGAAAAATATGTGTCAGGAGAAAAACTTGTGAGATTTACTGCAGAGCAGTGAGTGTAATACCAGCCCTTTTCATAGCCTGAATGGCATTTGGTTTGACTATATGTGAATAGATTGTATTTTTTAACACCGGAAGAGTGTTTTAGCAATCTCATCACATTTGTAGACAAATTTCCTGTACTTAACAGTATTCCACTTTAATGTATTTTAATTGTAATCTTTTGACGTAATCAGTTGTGGCTGTCTTGTAAATCGAAAATTCCTGGTTGTCTTAATCCTAGTCGGATGCCCTTTCCAAAGCAGCAACCCTTTTCAGCCTTCAGCTAGGTACAGTGTTGTTGTTATTGCTAGGTTGCTTCATTTATTACTTGTATTAGAGGAAAATACAATTTCACTTTTAAAAAGGGCAGTACTTTTATGGAAGTAAAAGATAGATTTTCTAATTTTAGTGCTGAACTTTGTATATGACAATTGTGAAGCCACCTTTTTGTTTCAGAAGTGAAGGAAGACAAAAAAGATTTTGGGTAGAACTTGATACAGGGGGAAATGTCCTGAATTCATCGGCAGAGGGTCAAGGGTAAAATCTTGGCTCTGCTGTGCAATCCTGGAAGAGTCAGTGAATGAATTCTTCTGAGTCTCAGGAGCCTGTCAGGTTAGGGGATCCCCGTACATTAATTCTATAATAACTTCCAATTCTAGAATCCATTTCTTTTAGTAAGTTATAAATAAAAATGTAACTAAAACATTACAAATTAGTAGTTCTTGAACTTTTACTTAAATGTTGAATGTTGATACTGCTAAGCTATCTTTTTTAATTGGAAAAGACGAATACTCTTTTTTGAATAGAGAACTTCTAAAGAGTGTATGTGGATTCATTTTTGGATTGATAACAAAGTAATTATACTTTCATTTCCTTAAGTACTTAAATGTTTTTATGAACTTCTTTGAAAAACAATTGAAAACTCATTAATAATAAACGTTTTTAATTGTGTTAGAGCAGATTTAAAATAATTTTTAAGTTTTGGGTTGTTAGGTACGGTGTTGAAAAATCAGGACATATGTTTGTAAGATACTTTATTTTCATAATTAGATTGGTAGCATTTGATGTAAATGCTGTGTCTGTGTCAGTTCTTAGCGAACAGTTTTTGTTGTTACAAAGCATTTAGAGATTTAAAGTTTAAATCTAGTTAGTGCTGGTGGGTTAATGGAAAGAAGCGTTAAGTTTGTACATTTGCCAGCAGTCAGCTGAAACTAATAGGAAGCTAAAAAAAAAAAAATCAGTTGTCTACATAGAAGCCAGAATTTAACTAAATATCTATGCCATTTTACTTGTGTATTCTACAATGTAGTTTTCAGCTTTTCAACCAGATTCTTTGGCGTGTGATAGACTAGGTAAGTACGAGGCTTTGAAAGATGTAAATTAGTGTGTGAGAAATTTTTCTATACCTTAAAATGCTAGGTGCTTTCTAAATGGGTAAATATTTAAAAATTCTGTGGCCTTAAAACCCATAAATATTACTTAAAGTGTTAATTTTATTTGAAAAAGATATACACATGTAGTATGAAGGCTTTTAAAAAAAATTGTAAAGTTTGATTATTTACCCCCTTAAGGAATTTGCAAGGCAAAACCCACTATGAATTTCTTTAATAATATTTTAGTGTTTGTAATATTTATTTTATGGTTTTAATGAGTGTTTTATTCTAAATTCATGTTCATGTTTTTGTAGAAAAATATCGACCTACATAATTATTTTATGCTCTATTTTGTAAATATTGTATATGTACTCTGCCATCCGCGTTATCTTTCAAAAACACAGATTTTAATCAAATCACTCTTAAAAATCTCTTAGGCTTTTCATTGTTCACAGGATAAAGTTCATGCTCTTGACCCTTGCTTGCGAAGTCCTCTATAGCCTGCTTTTAGCCTTTTGCTTGTTTTGCTTTTTAAAAAGCCATCTGGGATTTACGGAACACCCCTTCCTCACATCCATCCTTGGTTCTGGCTGTTTGAGGACTGCTTATTGTTATTGACTTGTAGACTTCTTTTCTCTTGCTTTTACCATTCACACTGGTTGAAATCTCCTTTAAGAAAGGAGAAATCTCCTTTAAGAAAATCTTATTTAAGATTAAGAATCTTTATTTTATTTTTTTAAAGATTTTATTTATTTATTTGACAGAGAAAGACAGTGAAAGAGGGAACACAAGCAGGGGGAGTGGGAGAGGAAGAAGCAGGCTTCCTGAGGACCAGGGAGCCCGATGCGGGGCTCAATCCCAGGACCCTGGGATCATGACCTGAGCTGAAGGCAGTCGCTTAACGACTGAGCCACCCAGGCGTCCCAAGATTAAGAATCTTTAGAAAGTACAGTGATACATCAATGTGTAAGCTGAGGACAAAGTTCCATTATGGCAAAGTTGGCCATATTTAAAAATAAAAGGTGAAAAAAAAAAAGGTAACAAATCATGTGAAGCAGTGATGATGTGAAA